GCTTACAAATTTCTTAAAAAGAACTGCAGAGCTCATCTGTTTCTATGTTCACACTTTGCATCTCTGCACAGGTGTGTCTTCAACATGATTTATGGCTCTGCTGTGGAGAAATAGGTGTGAACTTGGGCACTGTGCAGATGATTCCGTAAATCAGGAAACTATTAAAGCTCTTTTTCTGAAAACTGATTTTAACATGAGAATGCTACAGGTGGCAAGTACTTTCTCAGTCTTCTTCTGGAGTTTAGGTGCTCTTCTTAGCTTCAGAACTGGTGCTTATTTTTGCTATATCTATACCAGATTTCTCTAGACTGGCTGTTTCCTGGGCTGTTCATTTTTTGGTGCCGCCTGGGGATTTCTCTTTTGAAACAAGTTTTATTCTCGTGAAAGCAACTGGCCATTATTTTTATTTCTTTTGAAAGAGCTTGTAAAATAAGCCATATTTCTGTAGCCACATAGGAAACTGAGCACAATTATGGCTGCTGTTTTAGACAGAAATGATGGCCCTCCTCTTCCCATCAATGGTGGAACCAAAAGTTGAGTTTTAAGGCACACACTGTATAGAATACCAGGAAAGAGAATCGTGTCTCCCTAAAAATCTGTGTGTCTAACATCATAAGCTCATATGCCATTCTCTTTGCAGCTACAGCATCAGCACATTTACCTCAGTATCAGCTGCTGTGAATTTCACTGCCTCATTATATAATGTATACTCAATGTGTTCATATTTATATTTAATGCCCATTACATGAAAGAATAAAGAGGGTTGAATTTTTCCATGCACACTTGCTGTTTCACAGAATGTGCTCTATTTTTAAATTATAGAAGGAAACGTGGCCCAGACACCAGAATGGTCTTTATTCAATCGCTTCTATCATTACAGTTTTGAAATGTGAATCCACGGGATTCTTTTAAGGCAGGTTTCTTTCTTTATCATACTATCATTGTCTCAAGCAGATGTCTCTCAGAGCAGCAGTTCTGCCAGAAAGCCTAATAGTTATCATTCTAGGTGTTATAGTTGAGGGAAATTGTCTCCATTTCAGGCTAATGATGTTGTGCATGGGGACTGGAATGCTTCTCTCAGGCCTAATTCAGGATACCTTAGCTTTTGCCAGGTATTTCTGCCCCAGAAACCGTAACACTAAATAGTGAACAGCTTTAAGTAGGATTAAATAATTCTTTTTCATGTTTTTAATTTTTTTTTTTTCACTGCAAATTAATTAGTGTGTAATAAGGGTAGCTGGCTGGTCCGTCTGCTTTTAGGGTGAGTGCTTTATGAAGGTGCAGGTGGTTGAGGGATGGAACTTCTCCCCCTGCCCATCTCCTTCAGCCTTCACGTCACCAAAGTTGTTTTCATAAAACTGTGAATTTCTGCTCCTGACAAGGATTGATGGGCTAACTGTTAAAATCACAGAGTGCTGCATTATTTATACACACAAGGGCTGGGCTCCTTCTTTCAGGCTGTCCTCTGCTGTCAAGCAAGGAATTAAACTCCTCACTCAGGAAGCATGCAATATTTCGTTTCTATGGGGTTTTGTGGGATCAAAAATACGTTATATAAAAGTTTAAAGTTCAGTAAAGAGTGGGTGTACAACTTCTACTCAACTCCCCACCACTACCTGCTTGTGGAAAGGGGCAATAGTTGTATATTCAGTATTTTATTGAAAAGCATGTGGCTTAAAAGTAGTTATGTGAACACATGGAAAAGAGAGTGATGGACTTGCAGAACAGTTTTTCTCTGAGTACCTTTAATGAAAATGATCCAGGTTCATTGGTTGAGTTGTTCATTATGTACAAAAAAACTTCATATTTCTTACAGAAACAATCCTGGGTATTATTACAGAGCAAATATATCAGCTTTTCATTTGAGTTTTGCTGCATAATTTTTCCTGAATTTGGAGAATTGGGGAAGGTTCTTAATTAAAATTCTAATTTTGAGTTTGCATGGATCTCTTTGATTTTATTCTTTTTGTCATGCTTTTTTTTTTTTGTTTTGTTTTTTTAATTCTTAACCAGCCGTAGTTCCCAAGCAGAGGATGGACAGTTTGCTCAAGGATAAACTTGACTTCAAAATGTTATGAAGAAATGAGATAGGAGCAGAAAAATAATTAAAATTATTTTTAAAATCCCACGCATTTAGGACCCTTTGGTACTAAGTGAAGTCCCAAAGGTTTATGTACTGTCTTCAGACACTTTTACACTTGAGAGGCCATGTAAAGAAAAGCACAAAGTTAGTCAGACATAGGGAAGACAAACATGAATGACTGTTTTCATTCGACATTGAATCTTACTGGAATCCTTTCAGAATATCTTAATAAAAGTGCAATAGTAATTGGTCTTTAGATTTTCTTTTCAAATAATTTAATTTCTCCTGGAGTGTTTGTTTAATTTGCAGAAATTTGTCAAATTACACAGTCTGTTACACAAACAGCATCTTGCCAATCACAATGGAAAGCCATCAGCAACAGAGCAGACTCCTGCAATATTTACTGTAAATTATATATTTCCTTTCTTGGGTTTATTTTACTCTTCCATTCACAAAATCTCCCAGGTGAAATTATAAAACCAATGTAGTGCTAAAAGCTGTGTCACATTTTAATGGTAGCAAATCCCTTTATCAGTTGTGTTAAGACAAAATGCACCCATATCATCTTTTCTTACTAACAGAGCCTTCAAAATCAAATTCTCCTCATCAAACCCAGTGGAATGTATAACAAATTAGATTTCAATATTTCAGTATGAATGTCCTCTCAAGAGGCACAAAATGGAAATTGAGGAAGATTTTGTTGATTCAAAAGTGATATTTATTTTGTTCAGCACCATTTCACAGACAATAAACTATAAATAATGGAGATAACATTTTACATGACTTTTGAAAATTCAAGTTTCAATATTTACACAGCCTAGTACCTGCTCTTAAGTAGAATTCTGCAGCTTCTTATTTCTCTGACTGCATCATATTTGATTTTGTACTATGATATTATTTAACCATTGTTATTTACAGAAGGACTTTTCCTCTTTAATCCTCATTAACATTATGTGAATGAGACAGGATAAGCTGTTTTTTGCTTGGCTTTCTCTTTGTTTGGTTTTGGTGTCATTTGTTGGGTTTTTTTAATTGTATGTTTGGTTGGTTGGTTTTTGTTTTATTTTCTTTATTTGTGGTAATTTGGGGCTTTTTTTGTCTTGTTTTTTTGGTTGGTTTTTTTGCAGGTTTTTTTGGGGGGAGCTTTCAGTTACCTGTGCTTGCTTTCATTTTTTTTTTTTAACCCATTCTCTTTAGATGTGTTCTTTATTCACTTTATTTCTGAGATTTCTGTGGTACAATGGCATTACAAAAATTACACCACTGACTGACAGGCCAAGGTGGTGGGTCAAAAGAGCAATTAGTGCAGTTATTTCCTGAACATGGAAATAAATGGCTGTTAATAGAGGAGAACATCTGCTTTATTAGTCCCAAACTGCAGGTCAGGTCACTTTATTTCAGGCTGAAAAAGCCAACACGAATTTTCAGGCAAATTAAAACCACGCAGTTGACTGTCCACACTTTGGTCATTTCAGGAGATTTCAGTTTCGGGAAATACAATGCAGCATTTTGTGTGAATTCTGCTTGTCATTCAATGTAGAATTCACAAATTCAAAGAGCATTTTTGTCTTTTTGCCATTTACGCCAATGGCATTATTGAAATCAAAATGACACCAAATCAGGAAATATGTAGCAAAAATATCCTCTCTCATTTTAATCAGAATATCCATGCGGATTTGCATACTAAGTGTTCCTGCTCCAGATGCTATTTAGTTTATTAATTTAATTAGAGGTATGGGAATACAGTTGTCAGAGAATTCATTTAATAGTAGCTGTTCTTTCACAACCAATTGCCTAATCCCCATAAAGTAATAAACAAGGATCCTTTGCTACCCCAATAATGCAACAAATGCAGAAAATGAGAAGTCTTGGCTTATTTAAAATCAGTTAGGATATACCATTTACTGTTCTCAAAAATAGCTTTGCTTCTCCATCAGCGGGACAGTCTTTAAGACAAAACAATATCAAGTGCATGACAGCTCTCTGTGTCATGAAGGCACCCTAAAGATGACAAAAAAATTGCACAAAACTGCAAATAACCCATCAAACTACTGCACAGCTCCAGTTTTTCTGTGAAACTGATGCACAGAGTTCATAAAGGCATTTTCGTGCATCGCCTACATTTCTTAAACAATGTTTAAATGTAAATTCTTACACCAAGGATTAATCTGAAATCCATGTGCAAGAAAAGTGTGTAAATCCTGAGCTGTTTGCCAACAAAATAATCCAAAACATGGTGTAATTGCTGACATTGTATTGATGACATAAATCAAAATAATTTCTGTAAATCTCTTCAATTACATGGAAAAAACCTGGCAATTATCAATTAAAAAACCTCACAGAAAACAATGTAATTGTTCTCTAATAATTGTCTACCTGTAGATCTTTCTTTCAGATACATTTACTGCACAAAATACTGTTAATTTAAAATGTTATGCTGAGAAGCAGAGAGCACAAACCTGTCTTTAAAGATGAAGATTGAGATAGATAATAATATATGTAAATATAAGAGAAACTATCTGGGAAAAACTACCAAATTAAAGCTGGCCAAAGCCTAGGGGATATTCTTTAGGGTTGCTTCCATTTATCCCAGTGGTGACAGAATGAAATCTGTAGATATCATGAAAGTCTTCAGGTTGGAAAAAAATAAATAAATCACCATTTGCTATTGTCTTTTGCAAATGGATTGACTTTAAGACAACCACATTTTTTGGGGTGGAAGACTGGGGGTAGATGATTACCTGGAGCTGTGCTGTTAAATAAATACAAAACTGAATCAGCCAAAAGTCATTCAAAGGACATAAGAGTTCGTCCTTTCTTTCTGTACTTAGTTACCCAAAAATCTGATGTGGTGAGAGCTTGTGGGTAATTTTTGGTGTCTTTTCTACAAAAAATTTTCTTTTCCCTGTGCCCACAGCGGATGTGTGTGACTCCAACCCCTGCCAGAACGGTGGCATCTGCCTGTCAGGGCTCAATGACAACTTCTACTCCTGCGAGTGTCCCCAGGGTTTCACAGATCCCAACTGCTCCAGCCTTGTGGAGGTTGGTAAGTGAAAATTAAATTAAATTGCTGAAATGGCTCCAGGGGCCTGCGGCTGCTCAAGCAGTGATCCTGTCCATGGTGTTCTGTGTGGTGGTGGTGGTGCCTTGTTGGGGCTACATTAATAGAGGCCAGAATAGATAAAAATGAAAAGCATTTCTATTTATTGAAGGGCCTTCAGGAACAATTTGGGCAGCCCCAGGGGCTACACCCAAAAATGGACCCACAGGTTTTCACATTTTTAAAAGTTTGGTCCATTTACATTTTGGGGGCTAATCTAACAATTCCAGCCTCAGGTAATGAAGTCATTTACCCCAAGTTTGCCCACCCAACTCACTTTTGTTTGCATTTCTGGGCCCTGGGGCAGTGAGGTGCCCTCGGTTGCCAGGCCTGGAGAGGAATTGTTGTGCCTGCCCAGAATGGGACAGCAGCAGCTGACACGGAATGTGGAGTTTGGAGTTACACACTAAAGAACTGCAGGATAGCAAATACATGAAAAATATAAACACTAAAATCCCAAGGCATCAATGGGGTCTTTAGGTTGATCACTATTGGGGTTTTTAACCTTATATCTGTGCCATAGCCATCTCTATAATAAGTAACAGTTGAAAGCTATGTAATTAAGTTGAAATGGCATCTGCAGAAAATATAATTACTCAGAAAAACCCAGTGGTCCACAAAAAACTCCATAATGGACTTCAATATCACAAACATTTTTCAAAGACCAATTCTAGATAATTTTAGATAATTCTGTGATAATTCTATGTACCCTTCTTCAACCAGCACCCTTCAAATCTTCACTTCTGATAGTTTTGTGCCAATGTCTGGAGTAAAGACTGATTTCCTATGCAAATTAAGAGACAGGACCAGCATAGGAGAAACCCAGAATAACACATAGTGGTCACTTGCTTGAATTTCAAAATAACTATCCATTTGGAGGCTCTAAATAAAGATGAGTGCATAGAGCACAAGTCAAATGTACTGAAATTTTGTGATGTGCACTTGACTCAAAGTAAACCTGAATTTGAGTGGTAGATCCAAAATATCCAGGAGGTCAGGCCTCCGTGTTGAGAAAACTTAAGGAGAAAATGAGAATCTGAAGGAAAATGTAGACAGCTCACTGAAAGTTAATTGAGCTCTTGTATTATCCCAAAGAAGGCACAAAAATATGTTTACAGAGCAAAATGATGGAACTGTCACAGCTGGGCTCAACAATGCAACGGTCCTAAATATGTGTGCGTCTCATTTTAAATAATTAATTATTTCATTTAATAAATATTCTTTAAAAAATTACACAAAGTGAACCAAGGTTCACTGTTATGTGGACAATGTCTCTGCCAATGGGTAAAGGGAGCAGAACTTAGTCCAGAAATAAAGGGCTGTTATTTTTATGAGGTTTTTTTGTTAATTTCCTTTTATGAAAATGTTGCTACTGCTGTTTTTAGAGTGAAATCCAAGTGTCCACAATGCAATTTTAAGGGAATTTGGATTTAAATTGATTCCCTTTAAGTTAAACTTTCTGCAGAGAAATGGAGCTAGTTCCTGTGGGAGAATGATCAACTTCAGACACCAACTGCAATTTTTTTCTGATTCTAAAATGTTGTTGTAGTTGATTACCACCTAAAATTTGAGTTGCACAAGGAGGTGCTTGTTGCCCACACGTGAAGCCAGGAAACACTGCCTCAAATCTTATTTTCCATCCCTTTTCCATAATTTTTATCAGTGCTTGAATTTATTCTACAGATATATGTCATGCTATCCTAAAACAGCATAGACAGGGCTTCACTTCAGGAAAATTTTGGATTTATTGTGTACTTTGCTGGCAGGAAATTGCATTGCATATGACTGGGAGGATGCCAAACATGACTGAATCTGGAGGAAAAAAATCATATTGTGATAATTGTCACTGTAATTAGCAGATGAGCATTAATAGGGCTTTAAAAACTACACATATACTTAACTAAAATCTTCAAGCACTTCACCAATAACTCGGTTTGGTAAACAGACTAAAGCATAAGTAAATAACTTGACAATGTGTGGCAATCACAGCACTTACAGAAGCAGGATGCTACATTTCTAGTTTGCAATCCACGGGGAATATCTGCTTGTTAAATAAAGACAGCACTTGTTAAATAAAGAATCTATTTCATATTCCTACAGTAACTAAAATCCAGAATGTTAATTCAGTTCGGCTTTTTCTTGTTTGCTACATGTACGGATTCAGTCTAGCCTTGTTAAAACCTTTAAAAATAGATTTTAAAATAAACTTTTATTTTTTTAGTAAAAGATCATTCTGCTTTTTGTAACCCTGTACATATAAGCCACTGGAAAAAAAAGGCATTTCAAGAAAATTATTTGATTTTTTTTCTATGAAAACAATGGTGATTAGTGTAAGCTGTTAGTCAGTCAGCTCAATTAATTCAAATACTGAAATGCTTAAAGTAAAATGATGTTGTAAGATGTGTCTAGAGGAGCCCAGGAGTGCAAGACCCTGAGTGATCACTTTTACTAAGAGTGTTTATTAGATGTATGAATTAAGAGGGAATGCCAGCAAAGGTTGCCTCTTTTTGGCTTTTTAATGAGGTTTTGCCCAAAAGCTAATCTCCTAATCCCTCGTATCTCAAAAAAGCCTTCTTGACAATTTTCTGTGCAGTTGAAAACACTAAATTAAAAATTAGTGTTTAGGATGTCAGGGGGGTACCGTGTAGGAAGAAAAGAGGAGGGTGAGGAAAAAAACCCCAAATACTCAAAAAAACCCCAACAACAGCAATAAAAAAACAAAACCAAAACCAAACCAAACCAAACCAAAACAAAACAAACAAAAAACCCCCACAAAAACAAAACAAAGCAAATTAAAAAAAAAAGGCAAAAAAAAAGAGAGAAGGGCGTGTGCCACTGTCTCCCTCAAAAGGGCTGCACAGAAAATTTTAAAAAAAAAAAAATTCACAAGCAGCTTGGTGTTGTCTGCATCCCCCTCATTAGAGACTTTGTGCAATGACAGGATGCACTGCTGAACTCGGGCACCTGCTGGGAAGTCATAAATTTTTCAAGGGACATACCTTGAACAGGAGGATTTTCACAGTAAAAGACAACAGGGATTTTACTTAATCATGCATTAATGTGGGTAAATAAAAGGCAGTCCCATTCAGACAGCAAGCCATGAACTATGCAGAGGGGAAAAAAAAAAGTACCCAGGAAGATCAAACATTTAGGTAGAAGTCTTCCCTAAATAGTCCAACAAATACTCCAGACAGTTTGGGAGCTTCATGGATTCTCCAGAATGCAACTTCCTTTATTACCTTAATAGACATAAAATTTAAAGTAACCTGTTATTCATAGTAATACCAATTTCAAGCTAATAAGTTTAACTAATTATGTGCTTTTATAAATTTACCCATGGAAAAATATAACTTTTCTGCCATACTTCTTTTTTTACTGACCCTGTAGCTGTGAGTCTGTCTAAACCAAAATTTATAAAAAATTCTTGTGAGAGTAATTTGCATATTTTTAATTGCTATTCCCATTCTGACCCTACTCTTTTGTTAATGGCAATCTCACTTTATTTCCTATGTGTATTTAAACTTGGTTGTGCAAGAAGGTTTGAGATGAGGTGGTAGATCTGTAATATCACCCTATTTGTGCAGGTTTTTCAGTGCTCTAACAGATTTTAAATATCTGATAAACTGGCAGAGGACAAGATAGAGAGAGGCAGGAAAAATGTGTGTTTTGGTTGTTTTCAGCACAGCACATCCTCCAGCGAGGTGAAAAAGGATTTGGCTAAACAGATAAAAGGTGATTATATCAAACATTCCAAATAGCAGGATGTTTTCCAAAGATAATAAGAACACTATGGTCCAAGTTAACTCTTCAGCAGACTCCTGTCTACATATATGGAAACTAATTTTAACTTAAATTGAAACAAAATATTTTTCGAGTAATTGATATTGGCATTGAAATGCATTACAGAGTAGTTGGCAGATTTTACATCTTTTAAATAACTCACAAGTCATTCTCAGGAATCATGTAAAATATCAAAATGCAATAAACATCAACTGTTACAGACAATTAATAGGAGCAATTAATTAATTCCGTTCAGGAAAACTCTTAATGTGCTGCCTGTCAACCTGGGTGACTGATTAGCCATGGACAGCACACGAGGGGTTCTATAAAATGGCACTGGGGGAGTTTTCTTTGAAATAAAAACTGCTCCTGTTCTGTTTAGTGTGTGCATAAGGGAAAACAGGGGGAGAAACACAACCTTAATTGCCAGAAAAAGAGTTTTTTCACTTTATTATGCCATAAGGCAAGGAGAGTGTGTTCCATGGGTTGACCATGTTCACATTTGAAATCTGAGCATCTTAAAACTACTCGGTTTTGATCTTCCAAGTCTGAAATTCAATAACTGTCTGAGAGGATAAACTGGTGAACATGTTTAGTTTATTTAAGTGAAAAAAAAATAACAGATGTCAAATGGGCTGCCAGCATCCTTTTGGAAAGTGTCTGTACCTTTTATGTCAGCTCTCACTGAGAGGATCTCATTATTGAAAAACATGGTGAAAAAAAAAAAGCCTGCGTGCATTTTGGAAGGGTGGAAAGGCAAGTTAATGATGTTATGGTTAATGATCAAGGGGAGCTGGGTTTCAGTGCAGCACGGAGGCTGAGAGAAGGGAGAAGAGTTGAAAGGTGAGCCAGACGTGCCAGTCTCCCATGGCATCTTTATTCCTCCAAGTGATTAAGAAGTGATTGCGGGGTTCCTGGCTTGGCACATTGCAGTTTTCCATAATCACTTCAGTCTTCTCAGTATCCAAAGTAAACTATTTCTTTGACAGCTGCTGTCTCCCAGCCAGAAACGCAGGAATCAAAGCAGTTCTTCCCTTTTCATGCTGTTAAATAAAAATTCAGTAAGATGGATTAGGCCCGGATCTGTGCTCTGATCTGTTTGCTTTGTGGCTTTATTTGCACAACCTAAGTCTCCACTTTTGCTTTCCTGACCCCTGCACTGACAG